CAGGGGCACAGGACGCCTGTCCCCCCTGCTGAGATGTACTTCCACACACACCTGCACCCCTTGCTTCCTCCTACGGATCTGACCACTGAGACAGCTCTGGCTCCTTGACTGCCCAAGGCTGGATCTTCACATTTCTCTCTTTGGATCTCAGATAATCATATATGAGCTGAAAAGGACCTCAGACATAGCACCTCTCACCCCCCAAAAAGTGAAAAATTGACTTTGCTGGGTTTTCTGTTCTGTTTTGCTTTGGGACAAGAAGCATGAAAACACAAAGGATCTGAACAGATTTCAGCTCTCAGTATTCTGTAAGACTTAGAGCAGGCCAGTGTGGGTGCTGTGTGCTCAGTGGGCAGGCGTCATGCCACGGTGGCATACAGCCACTGCTCAGAATGCTTGCATTGCACATCTAAGCATCTTGTTTGAGCCCTGGCTTTTACCACGTCCAGGGCTCAAACAAGATGCTTATATATTATTGGAAAGTCAAATATACAAAGAGGAGAGACAAAGGAAAATCTTCCATCTGCTGGTTCAAACCACAAGTGGGCACAACAACTGGCCTGTGCCAATCCAAAGCCAGGAGCCAGGAGCCTCTTCTCCAGGTCTCCCACACAGGTGCAGGATCCCAAGGCTTTGGGCCATCAACTGCTTTCCCAGGCCACAAGCAGGGAGCTGCTTGGGGAGCAGGGCAGCCAGGATTAGAACCGGCGCCCATATGCGATTCTGGAGAATGCAGGGTGAGGACTTTAGATACTAGGCTACTGTGTCAGGCTCATCTTTCATATTGCAGATCCAACTTCCTACTGGTGCTCCGGGGAAGCACTGGATGGTGACCCAAGCACATGAGCCCCTGTCACCATGTGTGAGCCCCATATGGAGTTCTAGGCTTCTGCTTTAGCCTGGCTCAGCCCTGGCTGTTACAGGCATTTCAGAAGTAAACTGGCAGACAGAAGCCAAAGCTCACTCTCCACATTTCAAATAAGGCAATCTTTAAGTGACAGGAGGATTAGCCCCTCCAAAAATAAAGCTGGTGAATCCATACACCACTGCCAACCAAACGTTCCTTTGGAACAATCTGGAAGAGAAAATGTTCCTAGGAACGTGGGAGTTTCCACAGCCCACAGGCTGGATTCTCGGCGAGCAGCGATTGGGAACTCAAAGAATCTTAGATGGGTCACAAGTTCCTGATGTCACCAGTTCCCATCAGCGTTGCACATCTCTGCTTGGCAATTATCCAGCTTTTGCTACTGTAACAATAAAGGATCAAGTTAAACCAGAGCCTGACTCCCAACAGGGGTCAGATCAGGAGGACCAGGAGTTGTCAAGTTTAGCCCAGTGCTGAGCAGAAACATGAGGCGGGGTAGGGGGACCCTCCGGGAGGGACCCTCTCCCAGCACTGGCCCTGAAGACCCTGGAGTAGCCTCTTCTATGGGAAGGATACACTGGTTCTTGGCAAATCCGTGACGTGCTAACAAGTGCCCCTGTCCAGTGGACGCCATCAGGACTTTGCAAGTTAGAGCAGTGGTCAGTGTCTGGGAAAACTCCTGTGGTGAGGCGACGGATGAATGTTCCTGAAGCCCAAGTCAGACATGACACTGCAGCCACACTTATCACCACTTCAGCCCTTCATTATTCACTCAGTCAGTCTGGCATATTACATCTCAACATGGCAACCGCCAATCAACCTGGGAGAATGAGCCCTCCGACAAACTAAAGAAACAGTCCCCTGGCATAGGCTGGTGAAATCGGAGCAAAGGGAAGGAATGCAGGAAGGACCAAGAACTTGTGACAGCAATGCCCAACACATCCGACAAAGAGTCACACCCAGCAATTTACAACCTTCCTGGGAAGCCTGTTGCAAGCACGAGACTATCAGCTGACTGGGGTTTGGTTTCTCTCTCCCACTTGATTCAAGTCCTCCAACAGCTTACATTTGCTATTAGGCCGCATCGGTGCAGGTGATGTTCCCACCATCTCTATGTGCACAGCACCATGGACTCGCTCTGCCCACACCTCCAACCTGCTCTACCTCTTCTTTAATGGCATTTTACTAGAATGTTCAGGATTCTTTGTTACCTGAGCATGCCTCTCCAAATCTATGACTATTTTTGCATTTCGTAGCTGTGAAACCTAGCTACTAAAGACAGCGTGTGGTCAAGCCACGGTCAGCTTAACTCCGCACAGCAGTTCACAGGAGGAAAGCTATGCCAAGGCATTTATACCGACTCTAGATAAACAACTACCACAGACAGCGCACTTTCCCCTTTTAAACAGAACTGGTTCATCTAACATGTAGGTAAATGCAAAGCCTATATATGTATTAGTCCACCAGCTTCTTTCAGGGTCTGAGGTAGGACCACAACTGTCTTCCGGAACGAACTATCATGATGTGAAAGTGTCGAGCACCATTGGCTCCCAAGTGCTTTGTTTCACTTCCTCTTGGACCACAGAATGCAATGCTTTTGTTGACTCCAGAATTTTGGAAACAAATTGAGCCTCAAAAAAAAAAAGTCCGTCACCACAGAGGTTAAGAAGTGGGGGGCGATAGGGGATTTGGGTTCTAAAATGTCTCATACCCCATGAACCACAGCAAGAAGATCAAAATGTTTCTTTCGGACCCGGCCCAGAAACCTAGTGGCTAAAGTCCTCACCTTGTGCACTCTAGAATCCCATATGGGCACCAGTTCCAGTCCCGACAGTCCCGCTTCCCATCCAGCTCCCTGCTTGTGCCCCAGGAAAGCAGTCGAGGACGGCCCAAAGCCTTGGGACCCTGCACCCACGTGGGAGACCTGGAGGAGGTTCCTAGCTTCATATTGGCTCAGCTCCTGCCATTGCGGCCACTTGGGTAGTGATTCAATGGATGGAAGATCTTCCTCTGTCTCTTTCCATACATCTGACTTCCCAATGAAAACAAAAAATTTCAAAAGGACGTTCCTTTCTGCACTCCACAGTGCCTGCTGTGACCACTGCCAGGTGGACAGCAGCTCCACAGTGCCTGTTGCGCACAGTGACCATTGTCAGGTGGACAGCAGGCCTCCGCTCTACTTGTGGAATTTTTCTCTTCATTCTTTGGATAACTGGGAAGTCATGAGGAAGAACAAGCCCTGCTTATCAGTGTGGTCAACTAGGACAGCCACCCGAAACTAAGGATTTAAAATGGCCTGGAGCTGGAAGTCTGCCTGAGCACCTGCCATGTGACTGGGACAGACAGACAAGTTGGAAGCACAGTGGAGCCCCGGGAGCCGGGGGAGCCCGTGCAGCCCGACCCTTACCGTGCAAGCTCCTGTCATTCACTGCTGGCCTCGAGGCTGGCCCGAGTCTAAAGGAACTTCTGGAGAGTAAGCACAAGAGTGCACATTTTCAACTGTGCTCTCAAGACTGCGGGAAGGGGAAAACAAAGTGGATGAGGTCTACCAAGACCACTGGGTTGACTAGAGATGAACTCTAATTAACTGCCCAAGGCATTTCAGCATTGTACAAACACTGAAAAAAAAAAATCAAAACCCTGAGTGCCAGAAAAGTAACTTCTAAAAAAAATAAGTCAAAAATCACAGGACAAGGAGTGCAAAATTAAAGTATGACTTACATAAAAACTCTTAAAACCCTACCACCCAAAACGGCAGCTGACAGAACCCGTCAGTGCGTCTTGCTAGAAAATTGGTTGGCTTTGCACTTTTCTTAGACGGACACCCACTGCTCTGGGAATCTGGAATTCTATTTTACAATTTTTTAATTTAAAAAAAAGAGAACGTCCTAATAATACATATTAGAATCTCAGAGGAGGACAACATTTTTTAAATAATCTGAGTCAACTACACAGGTGACCAGTTGAGAGAGCAAGACCTCCGTTCCAGGGACCTTGCCCCCAGTGACAAGGCAGCAGGGCTGGGATCCGGTCACGGGCCTGATTAGCAGAGAGCTTTCCTTTGCTCTGTTATCACTCAGCTCTCTTTGTTGATAAGAGACAGATAAAAAAAGCTTAGACTAAAAAAGTGAAAATCTTATCTGAACACTCAGCATATTTTTTTCAGGTGCCTCATCCTTAGTCTACTATTACATCTCTTTGTGGCAGAGCACGTGACCCAAGAGTTGTAAAACGACCTTCCTACTTCTCCCTGACTCTGTCATCCACAGGCTCTGTCCACCGACCCCTTTATGAAGCTTCTACTTGAGAATGACAAGTACTTTAGGTGACAGAAACTAAGTCCTGATTATTATTAGCCAAACCAAGAAAAGGATTAACAGTTTATGAAACAGGTTAATTTTGAGAAAACTTTTGCAAGAATAAAAATATATAAGAAATGTAAATTTAGACACATCATTTTGCACTAATTGTAAGAATCAGCTTTGACTCTCCTTCCCATTAACCTCACATGTCAGAACCCAACGCAATTCTAGGACCTTTTTCCCTTTCAAATACTCTTTCAAGTAAATGCTGCTACTACTAAAAGCCATTTTCCCTAAGCACATGAAGTTACCTGAAAGCATACAGCAAATACAACAATGGGGGGAGGGGGTTTGTTGGGAGACAAAGCTACTTCAAAACCAGCGGATAGAGTGACTTGTCTCAGGAAGAGGATCTGACAGAAGACACCACCCCACCTCCAACCAGAAAAGCCCTCCCCAGGACACACCCAACACCAACCACCGCCGGCGCCCCTCGGCTGAGCAAAACCTTCAGACACAGCTTTTCCTGCCAGTGTCTGAACAGTGTCCAAGCAAACGACAAGCACAGAACCATTTCTCAACAAGCTGGCTCCAGCAGAGGCAATAAACATGAAAGCAGATGCGCAGTAAGACTACAGGCACCAGAAACTAGCCCATGCCTCCACCTTCGTCAAAAAAAAAAAGACTTGTCTCTGCCCAACTCACCGGGGACTGTATTTCTCCTACATAGAAACGCACCCAAAACATAACTTTCAGAACACTGCAATTCAACCTCTTTGCCAAGCAATTAATTACAAATTCCCATGTGACCTTGAAGGAGTAAAATCCCAAACCTGCTGTGCAGCTCCTTGTGATCGCTGTCACTTCCGGCACCTTTGCGAATCCTGCTGTGTAACAGAGTCTTGCAAATCCGCCCGGCCCCGGAGACCACGCTGTGGACACTTCGGGCTGAGTCCTGCCACGCCCCCGGCCGGCTCGTGGTCTTGGCTGTGCCGCCACACATCTCTTCTGCGGTTTACCCGGACCTCCAACATGCACCTGGACACAAACCCTCCAGTTCCTTTGTCAGCTGAACAACAGTCCACAGCAAACAGGATCTCTGCTCACCCTACAGCATCGAGCCAAGCTGCTCCCCCAAGCAGCCTGCTGCTTTCCTCTCCCAGGAGTTCACAAAGAAAGAGCACACCGATTGGTTATGTAAAACAAGCGCGCCAACAAATTGGGAAGTCAGACGCATCCTTGTCCTTATGCAACACGCCCTCAGGAACCCAACCCAAACACTGCCCCACTTCCATTTCCTACTTTGGTTCCCAAGCTCTTACTTCAGTCGGTGAGAGACGACACACTCAACAGGTTGAGCAGCTTGGTCTGACTCACTCCTTCTGTGCTCCCTAGCTGGAGATTAGGTAGCAGTCAATTAATTGGTCACAAGACAATTCTGGGCAAACTCAGTGACTTGCCTTCAGCTGCAAGGTTGGTCTGACACTGGCCACACCACCCTTCTAATGACTGTCATGTGAGCAAGCGTCAGCTGACAGGTCTTACTCTGCAACCTTGCACAATTCTACCCATCACAAATGACAGAAGGTTAGCCACAGTCAAAATACATAATGTACTACAGGAGGACATGGTGACCCCAGAGGGTCAGCGAGCACAGGATTACAGTTGATGGGATAATATTTGCATGAGAACAACCGAATGGACACCTTTTGTGTGACTGATTGGATACCATCTGTATGAGAACAGTTGAGTGGACAGCATGTGAATGAGAACACTTGGTAGGATATACAAAACAAAAGGAGTTCCAAACCAAAGTACAGAAACTGTTGGGTTTTGTTGATGAGCTCAATACCTCCTCCCTTATCCCATATGACCCTCAGTGGATAAAGTCTGATGCCATTAATAAACTTCAGCTTTTGACCATCAGTCAGGGTCCACGCTGTTATTATCGGCTCCGTGCACCAAGTCCATCGCTGCAGGACAGCGACGATGTACAGGGTAGAGGGTGCCTATAAGGGACCCATCCTTGCTTCAATACAAGAAAAAAATAGTAAGGAAAAAAAAAGCAATGATGTTAACAAACCATTAACTCAGAACTTTTTACACAGAACTCCTGGGCATATTTGAAGAGAAAAACTCAGAACCGGAGAACAAAAGCAGTTACATTTTTAAGATGTGAGAGGCAGAGAGATAGCTAAACAAAGACACTGCACTCACAACCACCGTTTCAGTCCCCAGACACCCACAGCGACCACCTGTAAACTCAATCCGGACTCCCCCGAGGAAGACGGGAGTCCAGACGGCATCACCGCTGCTGCCTCCCACGTGTCTTAGCAGGAAGCCAGGGCCAGAGCTGGGTAGGGAAGCCTGGCACCACATCCAAGCAGTCCAACTTGGACTCATGATGACAACATCCTTCATATGACGAGCAGAACAGCACAATCTCTAGGATCCTGCGAGTTTGTGGAGAAAACAATTTCCTGAAAAAATCAGTCCCTAGAAGCTAAGGCCAGTTCGGAATCTTAATACGGGGTGGGGGGACCACCTGCAAGGGATTGCTTCCACACCCTCTCTTCTTGCCTTGGAGTTTGACTGATCAGGATGCTAACACATTTTCCGTGACAGGGGAACATGTGAGTTTCATTCTTAGCATCTGTGGGCGTAGGCTGAGCCCGAGCTCCCACACTGAACCACCTTTGTAGTATTTTCACTTTCTGACCTTCTCTATTACGAGAGAGGGAGTCGATTCTCCCATTTGCTAACTCACTGCCCAAACGCCTCCAACAATCAGGGATGGGGCAGGCCGAAGTCTCCCTCGTGGGTGGCCGGACCCAAGCATCTCAGTCACTACTCGCTGCCTCCCAGGATGTCACCAGCGGAAAGCTGGACGGAAAGGATTTGAACGCAGGCATCTCAGCAGCCTTGTAACCTCTGGGTCAAGCGCCTGCTCACACCTTCTCTTTCCAGCAGAGACTCTGCAAGGAGAGCTGCAGGGTGGGCTGCAAGCACGGGCCAGCTCAGGGTGTGCTGGGTCACAGCAGCTTCTCCCCTGGGCACCGTCACACTGAACAGGTGAACACACTCAGGTTAACCCATTGGCCCTGTACTGGGCAAACGGAGGCTGACTCCACATGCGGGGGGTGGGGCTCAACAGACACCCCGATTCCCCTGAGTTATACAAAAACTAAATTTTGGTTTCCTATAATTTAAAAAAAAAAAGCTGAGGAAATGCCATAGGATTCCCTTTCTGAAGATCTGTCCTGCATGTGCGTTTATCTAGGAGCTGAGCCACAGAACTGATTCTGACCCATACCTTTCACGTGTTTCCAGAGGCTTCAAGCAAATATTATAAAAATCCAAATCATGCCTGCCTTATCTGAGAGGCAAAAATGTTTTAAGCGGTGGGAATGGGATCATTTCAAAGGACATTTCAATGAGAACAGGACTCGGCTAAATACCCCGTGGCTATGGATAACTGACCTGAATTCACTCAGTTCACCTTGCAGCCACTCACTGCCACGGTGATGCTTAAACCTGACACTGCTGAGAAACACAGATTGCTGGGCCGACCTGCAAGGATTTCAGATTTGGCAGTTCCAAGGCAGAGCCCAAAAACTGCACAGATGGCATCGGTGCGGTGGCATAGCTCGGTGTGAGAGCGAGGAACACACAGGGCAGCCTGCGAGGCTAGAGCCAGGAGACTGAGCAAAGGGGTGTGAGACCCTTGAAGTGCTGTGTCCAAGGAGAACAGGCCTTTGAGGCTGACCCAGGACCATAAGCAGGTCCATCAGTGCTTGGCTGCTTTCAGAACTGTGATCAGCAATGGCTCCTAATAGCCAAACAGCTGCCAGTCCTCCCAGGATCAATTTCGTGTGCAATCAGGAAGTCACACACCTACCCTACTGCCATCTAACCTCCCTTGCTGAGCTCAGCACCTGAGACATTCCGGCAAGACAAAGACTCAGAAAACGGGTAGGTTCGCTAAGTGCTTGTTCTGTGTGCTGGGCACCATCATCCACATTTCATTAAATCGTATTAGGAAGGCACGCTCTTCTGGCAGATGTGAATGATTAAGCCCAGAAAGGTTAGAGATTTAGCCCACAGAGTCCTGGCGCAATGGCCTAGCGGCTAAAGTCCTCGCCTTGAACGTGCTGGGATCCAAAATGGGTGCTGTTTCTAACCCTGGCAGTCCCGGTTCCCACCCAGCTCCCTGCTTGTGACCTGGGAAAGCAGTCGAGGACGGCCCAAAGCCCTGGGACCCTGCACTCCTCCCTGGGGAGTAAATCACTGGGCGGAAGATCATCTCTCTCCTCCTCTCTGTATCTGACTTTACAGTAAAGATAAAATTATAAAAACAAAAATATTTAGCCCATGGGATGGAGCCTGTCAGTGGGAGGCGAGGAGGACTCCAGCCCAGACTCTGCCCAGCTTCTCATTGTCCTGTTGACAGATTCACATCTGTCCGATGCCTGTCCCTCAGTAAACATCTGGGAAGAGGCCGCGGAGGAGGAAACCGCTGATAGAATGTAAGCATTCTGAATAGCACCTAACTCAGTCATTCGAGGACAAGGTCTCACTCATGCACTTTCAGAGTGACCGGGCCTCGTGTCAGATACCTTGCCATGAACCCTGCCCTGCTCTCTGGCCAACAACCATTGGGCGGGAGCCAGGCAGGCCAGCTCCCCTGCAGGAGGCCTGCTCCACCCTCCTCTCTCCAGTCTTGTAGCACGGTGATTTCGTTGATCCAAATCATAATTGGACACTGAAATCAAGCAGTATTTTATTTTTGACTTATAATGCAGAATTTCCGGGGAAGTATGTGACTCAGCTTTCAGATTCACTGGAAACTTACATGAAAACTCAGAATGATCTGCAGTTCTTCGGTGCCAACCAGGTTATCTGCTACTCCTGTGTTTCCATATTTCAGAGAACAAAGCAGTGGTCACCCAGTACGGGGAAGGCTCTCAATAACTGAATGGATGGATGAGTGTCGTGTCTGTGTCACAACACGAACTAAAGAGAAGACTTAAATCCATACATGTACTCAGGTAACCAACGCACTTAAATCAAAACCAGCACCCAGTCTTAAAGCAGCCAGGCCCATGGCACTGCTTCTCCTGTTCTTCAAATTTGCCATTTTCCAACAACAGGCATGGATTATATATAAACAATGGCCAAAACTACTTTGTGAAAACCCCTGCTGGGGATTAGACTCTATAGCCGTTCTGCAGGCTGAATAAAAGAAATGGTCAGAGTCAAAACAATCTGCCGGGGTGGGTGCAGTGGTGGAGCACATTAACCCACCATCTTATACATGTGCCGGTTCCTGCCCCAGCTGCTCCACTTCCCAGCCAGCTGATGGGAAAGCCACGGAGAGTGGTTCAAGTTCTTGGACTCTTACACGCACGTGGGAGACCCAGAGGAAGCTCCTGGCTTCAGATCAGCTCAGCTCCAGCCTTTGCAGCTACTTGGGGATTGAACCAGTGGATGGAAGATCTGTCTCTCCTTCTCTTTATAAAAATCTGACTTTCCAATTAAAATAATAAATCTTAAAAAATTATCTCAGCTAAAAGGGAAAGAGGGAGAAAAAAATAAGCACCTACCACATTAGGGCACAAGTCTAAAATTATATCCAAAGAAAAATAGTGTAAAGCATGTAACTAACAACTCCACAACTTCCTTTTTTTGTAGATTCTGTCTGGTACCAAGCAGAAATACAACACACGTGACAACAAGAGGGATTCTTCCAAGTGCGCGCCTCTGACGTCATGCCACCCACCTGCCCGGGCACCAGCAGGCTGACAGCACAGAGAGGAGGGGCAGAGAGACTCCAGGAGAGCCTCATCCTCATGCGAGGCAGGAGCCCCAGGGAGGAACCAGCCCAGAGCCGAGGATGAGGGGGAACCATCTCACAGCTCCACTTCCACATGCAGGCTGGAGGGCCTGCTAGAGAGGCTTGGGGGCTGGGAGCTGGGACTGCCCACCGGACAGGGCACAGTCTCAGCGGCAGTCAGACCACCAGCAATTTAGACAAACAAATCCCTTTTTTTTAAATGGTCCAGTATCAGACCTCAATCAATCAGTTTTCTTCATGTGTGATTTTACCAGCCAATAAGACAGCTACATTAACTGTTTAAGATTTCTGAAAGTTACAAACACATTAGCAACAAAATATTACACAACCTTTAAAGTTTAACTCTGATCTCGGCTGGGTTGCCAGCACTCTGGCCTTAGCAGAGGTGTCAGTAGTTGGAAGCTGAGCTGCGCTGGGGCCACCGCCTCCCCAGTCACTCCCCAGGGGCCGCAGGTTCTAATCCCATGAGCAGGGGACACACTTCCAAGATAAAATGGAGGGCGCCTTCAAGAGCTGCCCCAGAAATCCTTAAGCAAAACATAAGCTCATTCTACCTTCTTGATGAAAAATAGCTCCAGAATACCACCAAGTTTGTTCTGTTTTGTTTTTAAAATTCTAGCAGGGAGCACAAGGATCTTTTCAAG